GGGTGCACACCATCTTTTCGGGAGGCATCACATCCCAGATGTACTGTGGCTCTGCAGGTCTATTAGCAAATCCAACAGCCTCTGCACTGTAGCCAGCCTTCCTGGTAAACCCTGCGACGGTCTGTAAGGAAAGCCCAGGTTCTCCGATGCACCCGTGTGCCGGTTGGGCCTTCCTTCTCCGGATCCTTTGTCTATCTTGTCTGCTTAAACTGTAAGCTGTTCAAGGCTGGGAGTGTCTTGCAGTGTGTGAGGGGGAGGGGGTGTTGCACCCAGAAGAATAGGGATCTGATCTCAGCTGGGGCCTCTTGGCCCTACCTCATTCTGGAATAAAAACGAGGTATCTGGGAGGGGGAACTCTGCAAACGAGCTTCCCAGCCCTACGGCCGGCAGAGATAGCTCAGCCCCCAGCGGAGTGTAGAACAGTTTGGGGTGGGAATGGCAGCTGGGGATTCGGACGGTGCTCCGGACACGCTCCTTTCCCCCTGGCCATGGCCCCACACCCAGTGCCACTAAGAGAGTGGTGCAGCAGCTGGCTTCATTAGCTTTCACCCACCGAGGGATTCCACCAAACCAGGATAACCCCAGCCGGGTAGATCCACTGGCTTTATAGCCGCCTCCCAGCACCAGAGCAGTAGGGCTGCGTCCCAGTACAAAATCAGGCTACTTGAGGGCAGTTTTTAGCGTCAGTTACAGTGCACTGAAAAGGTAGCTTGTTTTCCGTGTTTCCTCTTGATGGTGTAAAAAGCCAGCGAGCCCTTCATTTGTGTGGGGTCTGCACTGCAGCCTGGTTGATAGCGCGGAGATGGCCAGTTGCTGAGAGTGTGCATCGTCTCTGGGCGCAGCTGAGTGCAAGCTAATTGCAAGTGCAATACCAAGGACCAGCCGAGTTCAGAATCTGGGGTGTAACCTTAGCGTCTGCACCCAGGCTGCACAGAGAGTTGCAGAGGTTAAGCCCGGAAGGGACCATCAGATCTTCTACTCTGATCTCCCACCCAGTTACCCCGGAACTTGGGGTCACGAATCTGTCCATGGTAGAGCGCCCCCTCTAGGAACCACCCGCGGAGCTCATCCACGAGTCCAATTATCCCCCATCCCAGCAGGTGTTATGGGGCGTCTTTCTAGCGGGCTGGCGCTCAACCTTCTGGCCGAGGCCTCTGGAGCCACGGCCCCTCTCGGGGTCCCAGGCGAAACCACAAAACTGCCCGCAGTTAGCAAATGGGCTCAACCAAAGAAAGGAAAAGAAAAACCTGACAGCAGCTTCCTCTGGGATATGGGCCCCTCTGACTCCAGAGCGCCCTCGGAGTGTCACTGTCTATGTCTGAGTCCACTGGGGGACTCTGACTCCTCTGCTCCGGGTCCTGCACCCTCCTTCTATGAGGGCAGGGCCTCGGCAGGCTGCCAGCCCTCTCTTCAGGGCTGGAGAGACTCAACAGTCTGGTCCCTCTCCATGGTTGCCCAGGTCTCCTTTAATGCTTTTTCCAGATCTGCAAGTGCAGAGGGGCAGGGCCATCCTGGCCCCACGCTGCTCCTTAACCCTTCCGTGCTGGTGCAGAGGTGACGTACCCCGGCACACTTGGGTTTGACTAAAGCATCTCTTCCAGCAAGGCCGGCCGGGCTTGAGTTGAAGCCAAGAGATGGAGAATCCACCACAACCTGTAGAAGTTTGTTCCAGTGGCTAACCACCCTCACTGTTAAAAATGCCTGGCCTAAATTCTAGATTGCATTTGTCTGGTGTCAGCGTTCAGCCGCTGGTTGATGTTCTGCCTTTCTCTGTTAGATTGAAGAGCCCGTTAGTACCTGCTATTCTCTCCCCAGGATGGTACTTAGACACCGTAACGCAGTCACCCCCTCAATCATCTTTTTGCAGTTGAACCACATTCAGGACCCCTTGCTAACACCTGTTGTCAGCACTGGGTGACTTTTACCGTGTACTCCAGGAGTAAACTTCACAGGCAGAGATGCCACGAGCCACCACCCATAGTTACCAGCCTTCTATCCAGCAATAAACTAACCACACACACAAGTTTTATTTAGGGTCCTACCCCCATCAGCTCTATCACTTTATTTGCTCCTACCCTCATCCTTTAACTCTTTCTATCTCCGTCCCATTCAGCTGGCAAGCTCCCCCAGGGGACAGAGCTGTGTCAATTCTGTGTTTTGCCAAGCACAATACAGTACTCGCTCGAGACTCGGCCAATTTGTTTTGCCTAATTTTGAACAGGCTGAAACATGGCTTTGAACTCAAACGCTGACAGGGAGGGTTGGTGGGAAATAGTTTTTCTGTCTCAGGAAAAAATTGTTGAGGTTTTCTGGAAATTTTTCCCATTCTGCATGGGGCTGGTCGAAGCTTTTTGACAAACACCAGAGCGAGAAATCACATCCACCCTGAGAAAATCAGACACAGTAGGTAGTTGAGCCCAGGTGTCCCACCTCTGAGGTGAGTGCTCAGGTGTGGAGGTGTGCTCTCTCTCTCTCTCTCTCTTTTGTATTGAAGAATCAGCATTTTCCAACAAAAACAGCATTTTGTTGAAAAAACCCCAACTATCTCTGCTGTTAGATTTGTGTTCCGCTGGGGGAGACAGAAAAACAGGAGTTGGGTGGCTGAGCATTCAAAGTGGATGAATAAGTGAGCAGAATAAAAAATGATAACAGTGAAACGCGGGGAAAAAAACATAGAAAAGAGACGATGCTAATGGAAAAAATTAACTTATCTCTAACCATAGAGAGGGCACCCATTCTTGCTCATCTCGCCTTTGTGTGTGTTCTTCTGTCCTTAATACATATCCAAGTCCTCCCTGTAGAAAGAAAGATTTTTCTTCTTAAATTGACTCGCCTTTGGGAGGAGCATTTGGTTTAGAGGCAGGAAAAACAAGTTTGCAAACTTCCCTTTGTTTGGCAACCCAACCCTAAAAGGTCCCACAAGGGTCTCTTGTTCCTAGTCACACACCTGCTAAGTGAAATGAACACAGAACAGGTTTGGCATTGCCCAGATCAAGATGCAGTGACTGCATTCCTATCTTCTGATCAGAGGAAGGTGCAGAGGAGCCCAAGACCCTGGATTATAGCTCTGACAAGTGCTTGAAACGATGCCCATTCAGTGAATCATTGGGGTAAACAAGTGTCCATGCTAAGGACTGCAGGAGACGCCACAGAAATAAATGGGAACAAAATCTGAGTGCTCGTCCTGTGATTTTCCACATATTGTATGTTAATTGCTACCAACTGGTGCAAATTGCTGCTTGCCTTTTCTATGCCTGAGGTTGGCTTTCATGCAGCTATGCCATTTGCTGGACACTGACTGTTGAATGTGGCCTGCGTTCCTCATTTATTCCCCTGCAAATGCTGGCCCCTGGAACATACTCTCTAGAAAGGGGGATGATTGGGAAGTCCTATATGTTGTCATCAAAAAAGGACCTAAGTAAATTAATAGAGACAACATAACCTTGATTTTTGTGTGGTGGGAGAGACCGGGGATTTTGTGTTTGCAGAACTTCTCATGTGGGCTTCGGGTTCGGCAGGCCAGGTTTTCCCCTGTAAAATCAAAACTAGATTTGTTTTGGAACTGGGTCCGGCGTTATTCTAACCTTCAAAGATTTCAGGAGTGTGAGGGGGTGTAAGCGGGCGTAGACTCACCCGGCGGCGCCTCCTGCTGGTTGTCCGTGGGAATTAGCTCACCAGCCCTCTGGAGCGCCCTCTGTCAGCCGGTGATCCATTACTGCTGGGCCCCCGTGTCCCTCCTGGACCTCGGTGCCCCTTTCTCTGGGTTGCTGCCCCCCTGGTAATACCCCCACACTCTCAGGTTCTGGGTCTCCCCACCCAGGGGAACCTCCACCCACTAACCCCACCTCGCCTCAGTCTGGGCTACTGCCAGTCACCATCTAGCCCCACTCCCTGGGGCAGACTGCTGAATAAGCCACTCATCACAGGCAAGGGGGTTCGGACCTGCTGCCTTCCTCTACCACCCAGTACCCTTTTAGGCCTTAAGCCAGGCCTTGCAGCCTGGGGAGTTGCCAGCCAGGAGCTCCCCTGCTCCTCTGGCTTTCCTCATCCCTGCTTCACTCCTAGTACCCTTTCTGCTAGGCAGCCAGGCCCTGCTTCCTCTCAGACCAGAGAGAGCCTCTGAGCTCCTGGCTGCCCTGACCTTTATAGGGCCAGCTGGGTCTGTTTGGGGCATGTCCTCCAGCTGAGGCTGTCTCCCAATCAGCCCAGCGTTTCTCTCAGCCCTCTCCCAGGGATGACTTTAAGCTCCTCAGGGCAGGAGCGGGTGTCTACCCTGCTACAGGGGGTGTATGCCCCAGGCAGGCCAGGAAAGGGCTAATGTGGGCCAGAGACGGAGACCAGGGAGCATACCAGGCTGCACCTGGAGGGTAGGCCAGGCTTCAGGATGAGGAAGTGCAGCTGGGGAGGGGCTCGGAGAGGACTGCACACAGAAGGAGTTTTTGAGACTAGAAGGGGGCTGTAGGTAGCGAGCGAGGAACACTGCAGTCACTTTCTGGAACTAGAGAGGGTGGGGTGAGCTGGCACTGGGATCTTCTCTGGAACAGGGAAGTCTGGCAAACGTCCTGGACTGCTACAGAGCAGCCACTGGAGGGGAACAGGCTCTGGTGGGAAGCTCTGACCCAGGGCAGGAACTGGACCTGAGGTTAGATGACCTTTCTGGTCCCTTCCTTATCCAATGATTCCATGACCTCCATGGAGAGAGGCCGGGGAGGCTATTGAGAGGGACGTAATGTCAAGTCCAAGGAGGGCGGAAGTGGGTTTATTGCTGGCGGTTTGGGAGCTTGTTACGGGATTCCAAGGGAAAGTCCTGTGAGTCCAGGCTCCTGAGAGAAGGGTTAACCTCGGCAGGTTTGGGGGGAGAAGACCTGAGAGATGCTGAGTAGGAAAAAGTCCAGGGTGCTGGATGGGGCGGTCTTTGGCTGTTGGTTATAGGATCCCTGGGCTGGAGCCCAGAAGAGTGGTTGTGCCTGGGTTCTCCTACTAGCCAGCGGCAAGATGGCATGAGTCCAGAGAAGGGGACAAGAATGACAGAGACCTGAGAAAAGGGTGTGAGGACAACAGGGTCTGGAGTTGAGGCTGAAGACCTTGTGCTTAGGACTTTTGGACTTTGTGATCGCAGAATGGTGAGAACAAATTGTCACCTGACCAGAGGGCCAAGTTACAGGAAGATAGACCACCGCAGAACCTGACCCACCATCAGCAGGGGGTGCTAGAGAGGTATAGCTGCTACACCAGGTCTGGCCATAAGGAGGTGCTGCAGCTGTGAATCCACTCTTTCACAAGAAGGTTTGGACGATGGTCTTGGCACGTCTTGAGCGGAAGTATTGTCCACAGTGGTTAAATTATAGGACTGAGCTAACCAAGCTTCAGTTCCCAGCTTTTCCACAACACTCCTGGGTGGCCTAGGTCATCTTTCTGTGTTTGAAATGGGGATAACATGTACTCTCCTCAAAGGGAGGGTTATGAGACCTACTAATATTTACAGAGCACTTTGAGATCTTTGGATGAAAGTTGCTACAAATGAGGAAGGTGAGGTTAATGCCATTTACTAATGCAGCTGAATGATATTTTGAAGGCCATAGATATGGAAAAGCATGCAGGGATTAAGCATTCATTTGGTTTTGTCCAGTTGGCGTGCGCTTGCATTTCATTTAGCAGTAATACAAAGGATTTGATCAGACGTTCTGGTTGTTCTGTCTTGCTTGATTTTTAGGCGGCTGAAATGTCTAACAGTGAGCACAACCAAGACTTCCAGACGGTGGAGCAAATGGAAGAGACGGGCGAAAGAAAAGCTGGCGATGGAAAAGGTCCAGAGTCCAACCCAAGTGGACGCAAGGGGTCCCCATCTGTGACTTCTGAGTCTACTCCCTTCCCAAATTCTTACGTCAACCAGCATGCCATGAGGAAATTCTTTGTTACAAGGGTAAGCAAACCCCACCCCTGTTTGCGTCCCTTAGTTAACAGACTGCCCACGGAATGGCTTGGCTCCTGGGTTCTCCTCCTGGATATTCAGTCCCCGAATTGCCAAGAGGATCTGGAGTGATCTACCTTTATGTGGCTAGGAGTCGAGTCAGACCCTCTATGATTTAGGTTCATTGGGAAAAAACCTGCATGTGAGTCTAGTCTCCTACGGGCATGCGTGATTTCCACCTGAAACTCCCACACACTCCCACACACCATAAGCTGTGTTCACTATCTTCCCTGCACATGGGCATGGGGTATAGCTCACACCGGAACTTCCTCAGTGTTTGGAGGGTATAGTCTGGAATTCAATTTGATGTAACCAACTGTGTGACATCCCCAAGGATAACTGAGAAGTAATAGCTTATGAGAGGGCTTTATCCAATCAAAGGCCTTGTCTAATGCAGGACTTTGCCTCAGTTCTATCAGTCAGCGGCCACAACTCTTTGCAGACAAACCCACAATTTGTACCAAGGTAGCTGGTCCCCTGTCTGAACCCTGGGTAACCTGCATCAGTGCAAATTATGGCTTTGCTTTTCTACACTTGAGATTTGCATTGGTGAAGCTCCTTTCGCTAGCCACCGATGGGCTGGAAAGGGAGTAAATTCCCAAAGGCGAGAAGGCCTCCATCGAATTTATTGTATTTGTGGAGGGCCCGTCACCCTTCAGTCTAGGAACCCACTAAGTGGAAAAGTTAGAAAATTATCATTCACTGATGCAGGAGGCACCAACTAAAGCACCTGACAAGCCCTTTCCTTAACGTTAGTAGCTACAAAGTCGGAGTGCGCATACACTCTGCGGAATATATTTCCTCGGCCATCTCCGACCCACTGTTTAGCGCATTTGCTATTAGCCCCTGATCCTAAGCAGCTCCTGGAGGTGCTGACCGCTTTAAGCTCCCACTGGGCTTAATTGAGCCCTTAATTCTTATACCTATTTAATGCAGAGTCTTCCTGGATGGAAAAGTAGCACTCAGGGCTAATAACTTGAGGTATGCTGTGAGTAGGACCATTGTTTCGGTGGCGGAGACCGCTGATCCAAAGCAGTGTCTTACCAAAGGAACAATACTTCATCTCCACTGACTATGTATTTATAAGTTCCCCTCAGATTGCCATCCACGAGCTATCGTACCCGAAAGCCGGAAGGGGAGGGGAGAAATTCTCTCTAAATTTAAACTTAAGAATGTAAATTATATGCAGATGAAAGGAGCTGAAACCATTTGATCGTTTACTATTTAATTAACGGTTCCCTGTTGCCTTTTTATAACTTGCAGTCTATTGTAGGCAGCAGGACTCTAATAAGCAGGCTCTGGGCACCGCATTGTGTTCTGAGACGCAGTTGCCTGTATGACACTGGTTTGGCTCATATAGACACCAAGCTTCCCTGCATGCTGTCAACCCCTTCCCCTCCCCGGCGAGGTCTGAACCAGGCACGGTGCTCCCTGGGGGCACATCTCCCGGAGGGATAGCTCCGTGGTTTGAGCATTGGCCTGCTAAACCCAGGGTTATGAGTTCAATCCTTGAGGGGGCCATTTAAGGAGCTGGAGTAAAAAAGAAAAAAAAACCCTGTCGGGGGATTGGCCCTGCTTTGAGCAGGGGGTTGGACTAGATGACCTCCCTTCCAACCCTGATATCCTATGGAATCCAGGTAGCTCATAGAGCAAGTTGGCTTTTCATGCTGCCATCTTGAGCAGGCGTTTATTTCAGAATAATGCAGATGCTCTAAGCCTCCCTAGAGTGCAGATGGTCTAAGCCTCCCTGGTACTAAGGCCAGGCCTCTGGGCCTGGCGGTTCAGAGCCCTGGCACCTCTGGGCCTGGCGGTTCAGAGTCCCAGCACCTCTGAGCTGACTGCATCGATTATGAATGTAAAAAAATTGCTTGAGCCCTGGCACGTCTTTCATTACAAATTAAGCACTGGCTGAGGCTCATTGAAAGATTCCCATTGACTTCACTGCACTTTAGATCAGATCCTTGGAGCCTGATCCTGGAAAGCGATTTCAGGGGTGAGGGCACCGAGCACCTTTACAGATAATGCGCTTTCAGTAGAAGGACCAGCTGGCTTTGCCAGTCAAACTCAGTTGCATCAGACCCATAGATGCCGTCTTTATGAGTTGCTGGAGGCGTGCTCAACCCCTGCTCCATCCCAGGCCCTGCCCCCACTCCTCCCCCTCCCCCCAGCGCCTTCTGCACGCCGCTGAACAGCTGCTTGCGGTGTACTGGAGGTGCTGGGGGGAGGGAGAGGAGCTGATCGGGAGGGCTGCCGGTGGGTGCTGAGCACCCACCATTTTTTCCCCTGGGTGCTCTATCCCCAGAGCATCCATGGAGTTGGTGCCTACGATCAGACCCCCTGTCCTCTCTGGTCCCCTGTGCTGCTTCCTTTCCAAAGTAACAACAGCCCTGCAGAGGTAGGTGACCAGTGCTGTGAAAAAGCTAAGTTAGGAAAGGTGAAACCATGTGAGACTCTCCTGGTGGTGCGTGATACACAGCTAAGGTTTGCTGATGCTCAGGGACTTTTCAAGTGGACCAGGGCTGGTTTATGGGCTTATATTGAAACCATGTGAAAGTGGCAGTTTCCTGTTCATTTTAAAGAAGAAAAGATGGAACTCGTGTTATGAGTTTCCATTTGCGGCCTCACACGCCCAGTGATGAAATACCAGGTCTCGACCACCTTCCTCCGTTTCTGTTGTGTCCCCATCACAAATATTAAAGACCCATGTAATATAGGCCGGATGTGATCGTGTTTACACCCGTGTAAATGTGAAGTACCTCCACTGAAGTCAATGGAATCACACAGGCAGACGGACACATGCTCCCACAAACGAACGAATCGACTGAAATGTGCGGTACTTCCATAAACCAACGGACGGCCTTTGTATTAACCCGGGAGACCGCCCCAACACCAGCTGCCATCTTGGATTCCCTCCACACGCATCTGGGTGGTTACTTTGGTCGTTTTGAAAGCCCTGTTCTTGTCTGAACAATATTCTGGTTTTTTTTTTCAGAGCAGGAACAATTGTCACCTCATGATGGACCCTCAAACAACTGGACAATAAGGATGCCACAATTAGCTTGTATATATAAGATGAACCCCCACCCCCTGGAAGGCAGACAGAGGGCAGATGACGGAGTCATTTCCAAATAAAAACCATGTTACGAATAGATCCCATAGTTCTGAGGCTTGAGATGTGATACTTTTCTTTGAAGGCGACACCTGTGTGCATTTAGCGTTGCTCCAGTGCCTTGGGTTAGAATAAGAGGAGCGTGTGTGTTTGAGCTGTAATTTCTTTCCATCATGTTTATCTTACTATTCTTTTCTGATATTCTCCCTTTCTAGCCAGGAGCATTTGACCAAGCCATAGAAGATCTAAGAATCCATGTGGTCAAGAATTCGGGGGAAACTGCTCAGAGCTTCTGGCTTTTGTCCGAGTGAGTAGCCATGATGTATGGGGCACTGGCTGAGGCGGTGGCTTTGTTATGGGCTGTCAGAAATAAAGCAACAATGGGAGGGAAGGGGTGTCACGTCGCGACACTAGGTTAAGCTCTCTGGGTCCTGCTTTTAGAAGTGATTGCATAGGTACATCAGCCAGTAGCACGACTTCCTGTTGAAAGGGAAACTGTAGGGAGAGGAATTCCAGACACAGAACAAAGTGGGCCTATGCCTCCAGTGTAGTGCTATAAAGAGCTGTGTGGAGTCTCTTAATATCGATGATCCCTTTGTTAGTGTTTTGTAAATCATGTTGACGGTAAGTGCTGTGTAAGTGTTATTTATTATATTGGCAACAGTGTATGGAGCACTGGACTGGGACTCAGGAGACCTGCATTCAGTTCCTGGCACTGTCATGGGCCTGCTGGGTGACGCTGGGCAAGTAACTGTCCTGCTCTGTGCCTCAGTTTCCCCATCTGTGAAATGGGTCACGTGCTTTGAGATCTGCTGATGAAAAGTGCTAGATAAGAGGTAGGTGGTGGTGGTGTCGTCGTCATCATCATCAGACCAAAGAATAAACAATGTAAATGTAACTGTTAATTCTGGGGTCATCTGGGCCTCTTTTGTCATTTTCTAAGAGCTAGTGCAGGGACTGGGAAACCGAATCATCGCCAGTCTTGCTTTGAAGGGCTCTGTGAGCAGTTTCTTTTAAGGAAAAGAAAAAGGTTGATGCCAGAGCTCGTCTCTTTGCTGAAACTTGGAAATTGCCTTCTCTGTTGTGTTTATTTCTAGTTAACAGGATCCCAGCAGTGGGCAAATGACAACTCCTCAGTCTCACAGATGACACGTCATTCAAGCCCGGGAGTGGATATGTTCTGCAGTTAAGGATCTTTGCAGGTGGCACCCTGGGTTTATCCGAGACGAGAACAGCATTTAATGTGGCTCCTGACATAGTTGAGCCATTTCGAAAGTACAGAGAAAGAGGCTGGTAGGGCCAGGGTTACATAGGTGGATTTGACAGCCATTATGGGCTCCAGAACAGCACCAGACATCACAGCCTCTCCTGCCGAGACACAAACTATTTCCCAAGACTGGTGGTGTCGCCTCCTGGTGCTTTCTAAAAGTCTGCTAGGACTGCCACCCGGGAAAGGAGCAGACAAGACATCATGCCCGACCCTCAGTGGGTGTGAATGGATTCAGCTCCAGGGAACTCGAGGGAGTCACTTCCATTGACACCAGCCAGGGACCAGCTTGGCATCTCCCTGAGGGACATTGGAGTGGCTCACACCCTTGAGAGGCTGTGGACCATAGGACAGTTTATTCACTGTCTCCCACTTGCTGCACGATGTGTAACGTCCTTGAAACACCACTTCAGTGCGGGAGAGGAGGTGGCGTGAGGATTATTGTAACGCACCTGCTGTCGTGACTGGAAATGAGGCTGAGCTCCCCAGCTCCACCCGGCAGCAGTGAGTTTCACTCACCGCTGGCTAGGGCTGGATTGGAACCAGCAACCTGGAGTGGTCCCTTTAGAACAGCACCGCAGCAGGTGGACAGGACAGTGGGGCGGATGGAGGGAAAGAGCAGCTGTTGGGGCTGTACTGGTCTGCCGCTAGATGTTGCCAGTCTCCCAGTTGTCAGCACCTTTCACTTGCCCCAAATGCCTGGAGAACGTTGACAAAAGCTCTCTCACCCTCCTGCCACCTGTCTCCTTCCCCCCTTTAGTGCCCAGGTGAATGTGATGATCATCTATTATTTTTAGTAAGGCAAAACCTAGAGGCCCCAAACCAGGATCAGAGCCCTGTTGTGCTGGGTGCTCCACAGACACACAGTATGTGTCGGTCTCTCCTCCAAAGAGCTTCCAGCCTAAATAGACATGACAAAGAGTGGCTGAAAAGGAGCAGTATTTATCCCCATTTTACAGACCGGAAACTGAGACACAGGACAGGTTGCATAGGGCGGTTACATGGGAATTCTGGACTTGCACTCCTGAGTCCCTTCAGCACGGGACCATCCTTCCCCTTCTCTCCTGTCCCTCCCTCCCTCCCCACACTGTGCAAAAAAAAAAAAAAAAAAAGTTATAGGACAAAATGCCCAAGAATCTGCATCTCAATAGCGGAGACGGACTGGTAGGTAGCAGCCCTGGGGCAACGTTCCACAGTCTAAAACCTCTCGTGTATTGGTAACGATAGTGAAATGGCCTTTTAATGACGGGGTAAATATTGCTGTGGCGGTGTATGTACACGGCCAATGCAGCAGATTGCTTGGCAATCAGTGGTTAGGGGCACGCTTACTTGCACTAATGATGCCATGCTGTGGTCCTGTGACCTGGTTGGCAAGTAGCTAGTCAAGTCTGCCTGTGCTCAGCTGTCGGGAGTTCGGGAACCCATTTCGCAGGGCTGCTGTTTTCTTTGGCCTCTCCAGGAGCTTGTGTATATTTGCTATGTTTTTAAAAGCTCCATTCCTGCGCGGGAGGGTTTGCACAGACCAGCTGTGATGCGAGTTGCTCTTCTCTCTGTGAAGCCGGGCTCGCTGACTCATCCTGTATAATGAGGCTGCTGGGAGGGGCGGCTGCTGTAGTCCAGGTACAGTATTTCATTGCTGATTGTGAAGATGTGTCAGTGAGTTTCTTTTAAGCTACTTCAGCAGTGCTGGGGCTGGCGGGTGTGTGAGATTTAAAGGCACCCCACGTCCATTCCTTCTAAAGACAGGCCGAAATATCCCAGCCCTCGGTGTTTCAATTTCTGCATGCTGGCATTGAAAGCTGCCTACTGCAAATGGATTCCCAGCGTGCATTAAAATGAGTGGCAACCGGGTACCACTAGAACAATTTACCAAAGGTCATGGTGGATCCTCCATCACTGGCAATGTTTAAATTAAGATTGGATGTTTTTCTAAAGGATCTGCAGTAGGAATATTTTGGGGATGTCCTGTGTTACACACGAGGTCTGACTAGATCAGGGGTCGGCAACCTTTCAGAAGTGGTGTGCCGAGTCTTCATTTATTCACTCTAATTTAAGGTTTTGCGTGCCAGTCATACATTTTAACGTTTTTAGAAGGGCTCTTTCTATAAGTCTATAATATGTAACTGAACTATTGTTGTATGTAAAGTAAATAAGGTTTTTAAAATGTTTAAGAAGCTTCATTTAAAATGAAATTAAAATGCAGAGCCCCCCGGACCGGAGGTCAGGCCCCGGGCAGCGTGAGTGCCACTGAAAATCAGCTCGTGTGCTGCCTTCGGCACATGTGCCATAGGTTGCCTACCCCTGGACTAGATGGTCCCTTCTGGCCTTTGAATGTATGAATCTTTTAGGTGGCTGTGGAAATTCCATCCCTAGTTTTATATTTAATCACCTGAATTTCTACAGGGCAGTTTATCCTGATGGGTCAAAGGCACTTTACAAGCATGGGACCTGATCTTGCATAAGGGTTTGCAGGGCTGGGGCCTTAGCGCATCAAAACCAAGCACATGTTCTTTCTAGATTTTGTTTCCAGCTGTCCAAGATGAGACTTTGGGTAAAAATTTCAAGAGTCCAAGTCCCATTTTCAAAAATAATTTGAGCACTTTGGAACCTAAAACCCGCTGCCCTTCAATGAGATTTAGGCTCCTAAATGCCCGTCACTTTTGAAAATGGGACTTAGGTTCCTAAGTCACGTAGGCCCTTTTGAAAAACGTGCCCTACATTTCAGAAAAAAGCCAACAACAAGATCCGAAAACCTTTTTTTTTTCTAGCTGAATCTATTTAAGCCCTAAATCAGACCATTGAAGGATTTGTCCAATGACCCCTGGACTTTGCAGTGTTGTTGTGCCCCTGTACCTCGCCCAGTGCACTAAATGCCCCACTAATGACAACGTGGGTGAAACAAGACAATCCTACGTTCTTGAATGAACTCACACAGGAAAATGATAAAAGACAAAAATCACCACATCACCCGGGGGGAACAGTTTGTGCAACAGATTACTCCATATGTGACCTATCAGTCCTCATCCTCAAAGGAAACCCGCACAACACCTTCAAAAGACAAGCCTGGGAGCTTAAATTCATAACATTGCTAGACACTAAAAATCATGGACTGAACAGAGACACTGGATTTATGGCTCATTACAACAATCTGTAACCCGCTAACCTTCCCTCCCCCTTTTTTTGTCCTATGACAAAAGTTATAAAGTTTGCAGATGATACCAAGCTGGGAGGGGTTGCAACTGCTTTTGAGGATAGATTGAGGATAGCTGGCTAGATCGTCGGGCTCAACGGGTAGTGATCAATGGCTCCATGTCTAGTTGGCAGCCAGTATCAAGCGGAGTGCTCCAGGGGTTGGTCCTGGGGCCGGTTTTGTTCAATATCTTCATTAATGATCTGGAGGATGGTGTGGACTGCACTCTCAGCAAGTTTGCAGATGACACTAAGCTGGGAGGAGTGGTAGATACGCTGGAGGGTAGGGATAAGATACAGAGGGACCTAGACAAATTAGAGGATTGGGGCAAAAGAAACCTGATGAGGTTCAACAAAGACAAGTGCAGAATCCTGCACTTAGGACGGAAGAATCCCATTCACTGTTACAGACTAGGGACCGAATGGCTAGGAAGCAGATCTGCAGAAAAGGACCTAGGGGTTACAGTGGACGAGAAGCTGGATATGAGTCAACAGTGTGCCCTTGTTGCCAAGGAGGCTAACGGCATTTTGGGCTGTATAAGTAGGGGCATTGCCAGCAGATCGAGGGATGTGATCGTTCCCCTCTATTTGACATTGGTGAGGCCTCATCTGGAGTACTGTGTCCAGTTTTGGGCCCCACACTACAAGAAGGATGTGGAAAAATTGGAAAGAGTCCAGCGAAGGGCAACAAAAATGATTAGGGGGCTGGAACACATGACTTATGAGGAGAGGTTGAGGGAACTGGGATTGTTTAGTCTGCAGAAGAGAAGAATGAGGGGGGATTTGATAGCTGCTTTCAACTACCTGAAAGGGGGTTCCAAAGAGGATGGATCTAGACTGTTCTCAGTGGT